TACTTGCTAGATTCTCCAGACATTCAGCTTTCATATGCATCTCTTGGATTCATTCTATGTCTTATAGTTTTCGAGTAAATCAATGAAATGTGAAAACACTGCTTTTTTTGAGCATTTTTTCAACTTTGAACGTGAATTACAGCAATATGGATAAGAGCACAGGAATGTATCTATACTTTAGCACATATTTGGAAAATTTATCACTGCTACTAATATTCGCGCTGAATTAGATCATTGAATGTGCAAATTAAAGAGAAAACTATAACGTTTCTAATGATTAACAATTACAATTAATTATCAATGATTAAAAATTTATCTATTTTGTAACAAATTCCATTTTCTAATCTACGTATGAGTTGCATTTATTAATAACTATAGAAACTATAGATCATTTTTCTGAGATAACGTTAAAACAATTCTCGAAAACAGATAATGAAAATTGGATTGTTCTAATAAGTTTAATTGAAAAAAGAAATGCAATAAAATTTAACTTTTACTATTTTCAACATAATTCACTTTTTGAGATTGGATTTTTTTGTATACGTAAATAGAACTTTTTTGTAAGCGAAGTTAAGTCGTTTATCAGAATTGAAGCGATAACGTTTGATGATTGATTAGAGACGATAATTTTATGTACTGATAGTCGAATCTTGATAATAGAAGATCTAGTATTTTTATAAGATATGCGGTAATGTTTAGTAAGAAAAAAACGTGAAAAAAATCGATTTATCTCATACACTAACTAACATTACTAAAAAAATTCTTGTATGAAAAGAAGCGCAATAAAAGACTGATTCTTATGTAATATACAAGTATGTATTTTTTTTTTTAGAAATATCAAGTAATCATAAAAAATTGAAAAAAAAAATGCGAAAATTGTTATGGCTTAAACTTGTTAACTGATAATAGATTAACAGTGCATTCCACTAATAAGCGAGTAGGCTCGTTGGAAAGGCCATAGTTTTATCTTTAATTAGCATGTTCAACTATCGAATTAGCTTGAGTGGTTGTTCAGTAATTTAATGAAAGGTAAAGCCGTGAAAATAAACACATAAACCGTCATTTCTCGTTGTTGCATTAATGTATTGCAACAGCTGTTATATCAATAAAAGCGCAATTTTATACCTGTTAGTTTGTAATTATAAAAATATGTAAAAAGTTTTATAGTTTTCGAGTTAATTGAATAATGTTTACGAATAATTTTAAACATTTACGAAAACACGTTGCAAAATCGCAAAATTTATTGGTAAATAAGGTTTTTTTTGTGATATTGAAAAATTTGTGATGTTTGCAATATAAGTGTAATTTGAAATTTGTGTATTTGCAAAAATTTGATTGAAAATTTCGAAGATGAAAAAAAATTTTTTTTTGATCAAATTAATTTGATGATTGTTGATTTCACGTACCAGAAAATAGTAGGCGTTGTAAGCGACAGCGCATTGATTAATGTTGCCAAACACGTCCATCCTCGTAAGTGGTGACACGAACGTAACATTAACCGTAACCGTAACGACGCAAGAAGAACCGAACAATTTTGGCAAAAAATTGAAACGATCGATGCGAATGCCGAAACACGAATGTGTGGGTCCGCATGAGGACAGAATCCTTTATAAACGCTTCGCGTTTGGGAGAGTTGCAGATCGTTGCAGGAGAGAAGAGAGTGTTGGCGGAGGAAGGAAGAGAATTGGAGAAGGAAAGTGCGAGAGACTTACGAACTTACGTCAGATCGTAGAAGTGCATGCATTTTCGCCGAAGACTGGTTTCGAAATTACAATAACAACGACGACAAAGCGGAGAAGAGGGAACGAAACAACAAACTGAAAAGAAAAATTGGATTGGAAGAATCGCGTATATTACGCAATTCGCTAGAAAACAATAATGAAAATGACTCTAGAAAAAAAAAATATAATTAATTTTTAAACACGATTCGCACGTAATTAATCTATTGCTCGCTTTGCGGTACACCTTGACACGTATTCCATGTTTCGAACGAAACGAAAATGATCTAAGGCGGCGTCTGTTTCCTTCTGCAAAACGAAACAATTGAAACAATAAACAAATGAAAAATTTGTATTCGACGATATCTAATTAAATATAATTAATTGAAAAAACTCTGCACGCATCAGTGTTTTTTTTTTCGGTGCAAAAACACTGACTGGCAGAATTTCGACGATGAGTTGTAATCATCTCTTGCGATTACGGACACAAACATACGAATCATCGCGCAAACATACAACAATTTCGTCTCGTGTTTTCTCATTAATTTGTTTTGCTTATTTTCGTATAGTTGTCTTTCATAAATAAGATTTGAAACTGTGAAATATTTTTCGCGATGTCTTCACCTTTTATTTAATTACTCAACAACTACTAACACTAAATAGATCGTTGTATGCTCAAATTAAAGATAAAAGTATAACCTTTCCATTTTCAAACTTGTGATGTGCGTTTTTCAATTGTCATAAGTTGTCAAAGTTTAAGTCAATCAAATTCGATCTTTGAAAGAAGATACTTCACCTTTTATTGGATTACTCGACAACCACTAACGCTATTTAGATCATTGAATATGCAAATTAAAGGTAAAATTATAACCTTTCCAATGAACCCATTTCCATTTCGTGGTTTACTCTGTTATAAGTTATTAAAGTCATCGTCAATCAAATTCGAGCTTCGAAAAAAAGTGTCTTCATCTTTTATTTAATTACTCGACAACTACTAACACTAAATAGATCATTCAACGCTCAAATGAAATATAAAATTATAACCTTTCCAATGAGTCAATTGCCAAATTTGTGGTTTTCGCCGTTCTTTTGTTATAAGTTGTCAAAGTTTAAGTCAATCAAATTCGATCTTTGAAAGAAGATACTTCACCTTTTATTGAATTACTCGACAACCACTAACGCTATTTAGATTATTGAATACGCAAATTAAAGATAAAATTACAAGTTTTTCATTGAGTCCATTTCCAAACTTGTGATTTGTGTTTTTCAATTGTTATAAGTTGTTAAAGTTTAAGTTAATGAAATTCGATCTTTGAAAGAAGTGACTTCACCTTTTATTGAATTATTCGACAACCACTAACGCTATTTAGATCATTGAATGTGCAAATTAAAGGTGAAATTATAACCTTTCCAATGAGTCAATTGCCAAATTTGTGGTTTTCGCCGTTCTTTTGTTATAAGTTGTCAAAGTTTTAGTTAATGAAATTCGATCTTTGAAAGAAGATACTTCACCTTTTATTGAATTTCTCGACAACCACTAACGCTATTTAGATTATTGAATACGCAAATTAAAGATAAAAGTACAACCTTTCCATTGAGCGCATTTCCAAACTTGTGATGTGCGTTTTTCAATTGTTATAAGTTGTCAAAATTTAAGTCAATAAAATTCGATTTTTGAAAGAGGATACTTCACCTTTTATTGAATTATTCGACAACCACTAACGCTATTTAGGTCATTGAATACGCAAATTAAAGATAAAAGTATAACGTTTCCAATATTCCATTAAAATTAGAAATTTAATTGCTAAATTTAATAATATTTTCATAAATTTGGAATTGAAGTAATGTTGCGCAATGCAACACAAAAACAAATCGGGTCATCATATCTTCGGAATGCGGACGAATGCGTTGTGCAATTTCGTGCAAAAAACGGACAATAATGCCGATTTTGCATACAAAAATCAATGGAAGGAAACAACACAAGTAAAAAAAAAACGATACTATTGTAGTTTAATTATAGTAGCGAAGAAAGTAATTCAATTTTGCAATTTCTGAACCTGAAGTAACGAAATATCTTGGCTATTGATTGAAATGCACCGAATCCGGTTTACAGTTCATAAAACCGACGAAGCGATCTCCTCCACAGATATTCGAACGCGCGCTAATCTTTTATCAGCGGCAAAGTCCATTCCACTCCAAAACGATTCCGTCTTCCAAATCAAAAAAAATACTTAATTCGAACAAGGAATTACTGTCTGTTTGTTTGTTGTGTCTTCGCATGATTTCACCTAAACGTTAACCGAATTTTGTTGATTACACAACTAACTAAGAAGTAAACAAACAAAGAACAACAACAACAAAACAAAGTCGAGTGAATCAAATAATGAATGTAAACTGTGTCCTTCATTATAGAACAAGTTTATGCAGACTCTAAGTGGGTCAAATGGAAGCTACATTATTTGAGAAATTAAACCAATCAGCGTGCAATTACTGAAAAATGCGTTCATCTCTTTATTTTTAAATTACTTAATAACCAAGTGTACTAATTAGATCAGTGAATATACATTTTAAAGACAAAACTATCACCTTTCCAATGATCGTACTACCAGATCTGTAGTCTGCATCATTCTTTTGTTATAAGCTGTTAAAGTTGAAATCGATTTGCAAATTTGAATTTTTCGATTTATTGTAATGACTTCATTTTTTGTTAATATGTTAATATGTTAATTAAAGATTATGACGTTTCTAATAAGCCTACTACTGAAAATTGAGACAGAAATAGTTCATCTGTTATAAGTTGAGTTATAAATTTCGATCCATTTGAGAAACGTGTTCATCTCTTTATTGTTAAATTACTCAACAACCGATTGTACTAATTAGATCAGTGAATATACAATTTAAAGATAAATATACGACGTTTCTAATAAGCCTACTATCAAATATGTGACATTGATCGTTCATCTGTTATAAGCTGACAAAGTTGAGTAATACATTGTCATCTATTTAAGAAACGTGTTCATCTCTTTATTGTTAAATTACTCAAGAACCAATTGTACTAATTAGATCAATGAATGTGCAATTTAAAGATAAATATACGACGTTTCTAATAAGCCTACTATCAAATATGTGACATTAATCGTTCGTCTGTTATAAGCTGACAAAGTTGAGCAATAAATTTCCATCTAATAAAAAAATGAGTTCATCTTTTATTTTTAAATTACTCATTAATCGAGTGCACTAATTAGATCAGTGAATATGCATTTTAAAGACAAAACTATGGCCTTTCCAATGATCCTACAACGAGATCTATAGTCTGCATTATTCTTTTGTTATAAGTTGTTAAAGTTGAAATCGATTTGCAAATTTGAACAAGAAGCTGCGAGATCGAATCGCACGACAATCGGGAATCGCAGACTTCTTTAAAATTTAGAATTCAATAAGTCTATTTCTGTTGGAGAAAGCATCTTTTTAAACAATTGCATCAAGATAATAAAAGAACTGTTACTTTTATACAATTCTTGGCATACGTGATCTAATCTTTGTTTCAAACATCTTATTTGTAACACATTTTGAAAACTGAATTGCATACATTTGTTGAGTTAAAGATTGAAGACAGAAAACAATATTCGGGTAATTGTTCAATTAACAACATTCGTATATCACAGCGTATTTGCGAATGGCATTACTTGCCAAAACCGTAATTATTCCACGCACGCAAACCCATTGTCTTTGTCGATATTCAAACTACATATTACATAATTCGTATACTGGCTTCTAACAATAAAAATCAACAACAACAACAACAATAATAACGAAAATTTACTTAACTTAAAGATTAAAGTATATTAACATTGTTTTGTTCGGGTGCAACGACGCTGGAAATGTAGCGAAATGGAAAGGAAATTTATCGTATTTTTAATTGTTGTTTTCTCATTGATTTTCCATTGAATTAACATTTTTTCAGACGTGCAAATGAATTTCCGGTAACGTTTCGCCGGCCGATGATAACAAGCGGTGAACAGCGAGTCGCAACGAGTCACATCCTATTTGCAGTTACGTAACGTAACGATTTATGTTATGTTCGCAATGTCGCTGATAGAGGACGATGTATTAAATGCGTGTTGTCCTTTGAACCGACAAATATTCGAGCAATTTGTTGCCATTATCTACTATTACAATTAGCGCGAATTTAATGTTATTTGATGTGTAAAAGATACTTCTACTTTATTATTTTTATTTTTTTTTCAATTACCAATTACGTTACGAAATGTTATTACAATTATCTGAAATTTAATTTTATTTAAAGTTTTCTCACGTGTAAAGAAATTTGTACTTTCTTTTTACGCTACGTTACGTTAACTTACGTTACCAATAGAAACAAAGAAATGTTATTTCAATTATCCAAAATTGAATTTTATTGAAACTTTTCTTACGTGTAAAGAAATGTGTACTTTTATTTTACGTTACGTTAAGTTACGTTACGTTACGAATAGATATAAAGAAATGTTATTTCAATTATCCAAAATTTAATTTTATTTAAAGTTTTTCTAAGTGTAAAGAAATGTGTACTTTTATTTTACGTTACGTTAAGTTACGTTACGAATAGACACAAAGAAATGTTATTTCAATTATCCAAAATTTAATTTTATTTAAAGTTTTCTCAAGTGTAAAAAAACTTGTACTTTCTTTTTAAGCTACGTTACGTTAAGTTACGTTACCAATAGACACAAAGAAATGTTATTTCAATTATTCAAAATTTAATTTTATTGAAACTTTTTCTAAGTGTAAAGAAATGTGTACTTTTATTTTACGTTAAGTTACTTTACGTTAAGTTACGTTACGTTACGAATAGATATAAAGAAATGTTATTTCAATTATCCAAAATTTAATTTTATTTAAAGTTTTCTCAAGTGTACTTTCTTTTAACGCTACGTTACGTTACGAATAGACACAAAGAAATGTTATTTCAATTATCCAAAATTTTATTATATTGAAACTTTTCTTAAGTGTAAAAAAATGTGTACTTTTATTTTACGTTACGTTAAGTTAAGTTAAGTTACGTTACGAATAGACACAAAGAAATGTTATTTCAATTATTCAAAATTTAGTTTTATTGAAACGTTTCTTAAGTGTAAAGAAATGTGTATTTCTTTTACGTTAAGTTACGTTACGAACAAGGACAAAAAAAATTTGTTGTTACAATTACTTAAAATCTAATTAAGTGTAAATGGACTCGAACTTTTTTTTTAAGTTAAGTTTATTATTATTAGACAATTTTTGAAATGATTTCACTTTTTCATTAATTCTTAACTACTACTCGTGCCGATCAGATTATTTGAACATTCAAATTAAAGATAAAATTACGACGTTTCTAATAAGCCTACTATCAAATATGTGACAGTAATCGTTCATCTGTTACAAGCTGTCCAAGTTGAGTAATTAATTTTGATCTAAGTTTTAATCTGCTTCTTTCTTTAATTACTCAATAACTGAGTGTAGTAATTACATCAGCAAATGTGCATTTTAAAGATAAAACTGTGACCTTTCCAATGAGCATACCGCCAAATTTGTACTGTCTACCATTATTCAGTTATAAGCTGTCAAAGTTGAGTTATTGAACAATAAACCGAAATTTAAATTTATTGATATATTTTTTTTTTGTTAACCTTCTTATTACGCACTGACGCAACGTAGAGAGATAAAAACAAGTATTCGTAAACAGTAAGTAAATCCGTAAGTCATCTTAAGTTCATGGTCATGATTTCGACTTAAGTTTTCGACTATTCTTAATTAGAATCGTTAAGTAATTATGGTAAATCTGCATAAGTTTGCTTAATATTAGCAATGTTTAGTGACGTATGAATAAAACTTGTTGAGTCAATGATGATGATGGTGAAGGTTGAAACGTGTCTATCGCTTATCCGTCATCAATTATTCAATTTAGACTCGAAGCATACTGAAAAGCAGGGTTTCGAACGTAACACAAACGAAATTTCCGTAAGTATTTTAAAAGAATTGCAAAACATTGCGTGTTTGGAATATTGGTAAAAAGCTCATTGCCAAACGAATCGCGTGCGAATAATTAACGTGCGATTATTAATTTAACGAAGGAAAAAAACAAAGACGAAATATGAAATAGTGCTTTGCGCAACAGGAAACGATGAAAGTACATTTGAAATGTTAAAGGAGTTATAAGAAAACATGAACAACAACGACAACAAGAAAAAAAAAGTTGCTGACAAATCCGTACGTATTCAATGTAAATTTCGGAAATTTGATCGATTGTCTTCGGCGCGCTGACTGGCACATCGAATAATAAATAAAATAATAATAATCTAGAACGTTACGCAACGAACGTATTATATATATATATATATATAGTTGAAGTGTGCGAGTGTGCAGATTTTAGATTCGATTCGAATATGTCTCATCTTCCATAAAACCCCTCGAGGTTCTCGTACCTTCCCTTGGGGCACCGCCGCACTCACCTGTTGCTATCAGTTACGATCGTGTTGACGTTCCTCCAGTGCACTCTTGTTTTCTCCGTCACGGATTGCTGCGATCCAAAAAGAAGGAAGGCAAAAAAAAAACAAAAACTGGACGCACTCGAATTCTTTTCGTCTGTTTCGTATTTCGATTCGTACGCAACTGTGTGCGTGTTCGAAGCTAATTGGATTCTTTGTGCCCCGAAGGAGGAAGGAATTAGCACACTCTCGCTCTCGTTCAGCACCGCACACGTACGCTCTCCGATTCTAACCAAAGTCTCTGCCCATAGCTTAGAGACCAAAACATTCATGCACTCCTACGATCCTCGTTATTTTCAGCCTTGCCGTTAGGCCACACCAGCTACACACATGGCATCACTATTACATAACGCAATCGCGACGAGCGTAGAAACTGTACGTGTTTTCGTTTGAAACGAGCGACCAAAGAACTTAAGATGTTATTGGGACACGAATTAACATGAATAATCAAATACATATCAGAACAGTCCTTGAAATTACTCGTAATAGAATCTAATTTAAAAACAACGAATCTTATTTTGCATGTTTAATTCATCAAAAATTACGTGTATAATACGTAAATTATAATACTTATACCAATAAGGAAACGAATTCGATTCTTATTGTCTCTAAAAAACGTATCAATTGTATAAAATTTCATGCATTTTTATGATGTTGAAAATTTGGTCGCCATTTTCTATTTTTCTTTTGTTTTCCATTTTAAATTTTAAATACCTGTTACAAAACGCTTTCTATTTACGTTACAGAGTGCTTTGTATTTACGTTACAAAATGCTTTATATTCCAGCAAATTACAATTAAATTTTATGATTAATTTACGTGTGATTTTGCGATTATTCAATTTGAATAATTGGCGTTTATAGTGTAATAATTGCTGCCAAATGTCATTTTTTACATTAATTGATTGGTATTAATGATTCATTACAATTATTTATTAAACGATTAAAAACGTCCATATATCAAATTCAATCATTGATTAACGAACGCTCGTTAATATAAATTGCAGATTTACGTTTGATTTTTAAGCATCAATTGTTAAATTTAATCCATTGAAAACGTCAATTTTATTTAACTGAAACAAAACAATGGCGATCATTCAAAATGTCTGATTTCATTGTTTTGTTGGTTGCATAAACTTTTATTGAATGTTAAGAAAACAAAGAATTTAATAATGTTATATAATGTTTAATAATGTTATATAAATTGCAGATTTACGTTTGATTTTTAAGCATTAATTGTTAATTTAATCCATTGAAAACGTCAATTTTATTTAACTGAAACAAAGCAATGGCGATAATTCAAAATGTTTGATTTCATTGATTTGTTGGTTGCATAAACTTCTATTGAAATTATTGAATGTTAAGAAAACAAAGAATTTAGTAATGTTAGATAGAATTTGTTGATACGTTAACAAAATTATTGACTCAATAAATTTTTGTCTAATTGTTGTATTTCTTTTGGTTCTTATTGGAAGAAGTTGAATGGGTTGCATAAATTTCAAGTAAAATTAGTAATAAAGATTTATTGATATTAGACAAAAATACGTGTTTATTAGGTAATAAAATATAGTGACTAGAATTCGCTTACACTCTTAAATCATTAATCAATTGCATTTGGCACCGCAAATGCTTCTATCCTGTTTATCATTCTTCTCTTGATTCTTCTTGAAAGCTGAAAAAAACTTAAATTTGTAACAAAACCATCAACAAACTATAATCAAATGATCAAACGTACAGACGAGATCCGAATTGATGAAAGTCTTTTCAATTTTCTCGCCTTCTTTCGCAATCGAATCTTCGAATGCTAAAGCGGCAACGCGGAAGAAGAGTTTCGCAACGTTTTCGCCGGTTTTCGAAGAGATTCCCCAATATTCACCACCCATATCGTTCGCAACTTTAGCCCCATAAGATTCGACGACTCTATAACTTGCTTTGGACTGAAACGAATAAAAAAAATAATTGGATTTTCAGTTGTAATTTGCGGATTTACCATTAGATCTTTTTTGGTTCCAACTAGAAACAGGTATGGTCTTAAGCTGTTCGCGGCCAAGGCTTCTCTGAGCCAAATCTTGCTGTTGGACAGAGTCGTTACGTTCGTTAAATCGAAGACTATGATTACAACTGAAATTAGTTAATTTAACGAAGATAATTTACAACAAAAAAAAAATTATTAAAGTATACCGTGAGCCGATCTGTAATAAGCCTGCGCTATGCATTTGAATCTCTCCTGCCCTGCAGTATCCCAACTGAAAACGAACAAGATTTAGTGCACTAAATTATCGAAATTAAAATTACATTACATTTGCAAGTTGTATGGAACGTTGAGGATTTCGAACTTTTCCACCTCGAAATCGACGCCGATCGTCGCTTTGTAATTGGACTCGAACACTTGATGGCAGAATCTGCAAAAAAAAAAACAATTGAAAAACTCGAAACAATTGCGTTTTACTATGCTATACCTATTGACTATACACGTTTTTCCAACGCACACGTCGCCCAGAATGATAACTTTGCAGATCTTCAGACTCGTCAGCAGACTGTGCCTATTTTGCACGCACATTTTACGCGTTTCTTCCGCGAAATCTGTGCGTCCGTATGGGGTCATCGCGATGGAAAAGGGTTTCGGAAAAGTTTTGATTTTCCTGTTTTCACCGACGTCTCCCAACATTTTCAACACCGAAGACATCGCTTGTTTGTATCGAAGCAATCGCGCGAACAGGTGTCGTCTGCTGGTAGCCCCTCTTCATAAACGACAACAGGAATGAAACGTAACTGTTATCATGTTAGAATTAACATTTGACATATAATAATGTGACAATTATTTTGTCATTAATGACAATTAATCTGTCATTAACATAAGTTTAATTAAACTATTCGTAGATATTATTAATACTTTAGTATTTAACAGACATAACTAATACGTATTATAAGTTAATAACAACGTTGGGATGCTCTGCTTTAAGTTATAAAGTATTAAGTTACAAAATGATTAAACGTAATGTGATGTATGTATTTTTTTTTGATACAAATACAAATTCTAATGTTAAAGAAATTAATTGAATACAATATATAAGTTATAAATGTATTATTTATACATTTCAACAATTGTTCATTCTTGTTTGAACATTTAGATTTTTTTATTTTTCTCGTATTGGTATTGAAAGAAGTAAGCTTGTAAGAAGAAGAGAAACGCCTTAAAGTTTGATTCGTTGTTTATTGTAATTTAACTTAAGATGATTATAGTTTAAGTAGAATTGTGTAATTAAATGTATTTAATTGATGTGTATTTTGTAAATCGGATTGGATCGGTTTTTTTTTTTTTACTGAATGTTCGTTGTGGATTTTGAATTTGGCGCTTGATGCGCAACGCGCATGTCCCAAAGTTGACATCCGGAATCGTAGCCATGTCTGCTTCCTTTTAGTGTGGTTCTTTTTACAAACATGGCCCCACCGAAACCCAAATCGACGGATAAACCCGGTAAGACTTGTTTATAATTTACAATTTAAGTGAAATCGTATCGTTTCGAGTGCTCTGTTCGATGGTACGTAGGAATGCACGCGAATTTCGTGCGTATTTATCGAAAATTCACCGTTCACTTGTGATTGTTTTCGATGCGTGAGCCACGAGGCTGTTGCGAGTCGTCCGCATGTCGACCCAACGCTATCGAGCAAAGCACTCTTTGTTTTTTCAATGATGACTTAATGAGTGGGAATCTCTTTGAATCTTAAATGAAATCAACCTTTAACTCTCTCTGATATATACATATATATATATGTATAACCTAACATGCGAATTGTTTGGTTAAGTTTGTTGTGGTATGTTGTTTAATAGTTTTTGTTGATGTATTTCAGCTGCTAAGCCAGCAGAAAAGAAGAAGCCTGCGGCTGCCCCAGCCAAGGCTCCGGCTGCAGCTAAGCCAGCGGCCAAGCCTGCTGCTGCTAAGCCAGCTGCGAAGGCTGCCGACAAGAAACCAGCCACTGCTGGAAAGGGCAAGGTTGCACCAAAGACTTCATTGAAGTCCGTAAAGAAGGGAACCCTCCCCAAATCCGCCAAGCCATCTCAACCGACCAAGAGCATTCTGTCGAAACCTCGTCTCCATGCTCCAGCTAAACCCAGCAAGCTGGCCAAGCTTAAGGCTGCCATGGAGAAGGCGAAGGTTGTCCAAAAGAAGGTAAATTACAATCAATTGTTTATTCTATCTTGTTTTTTTTTAAATGCAAATGATGATTTATATGTGGGAATCTCTTTGAGAAAAAAAATAATGAAAAGAAACATTGTTAAACATAGTACTGAAATCGAATACGAATTATTCGTATTATGACGAAGTCGCATATTTTTTTTTCTCTAAATGTTGAAATGTGTGTTTTCGCTTTGTAGGTGATCAAGGGACCAAACGGCACCCTCGTCCGCAAGATCCGCCACTCGGTGCACTTCCGCAAGCCGAGGACCTTCAAGACTCCCAGGCAACCGAAGTACCCGAGGAAGTCCGTTCCCAACAGGAACCGCATGGACGCTTACAACATCATCAAATACCCGTTGACCACTGAAGCCGCCATGAAGAAGATCGAGGACAACAACACGCTCGTGTTCCTGGTGCACGTGCGCGCCAACAAGCACCACATCAAGGCCGCCGTCAAGAAACTGTACGACATCAACGTCGCCAATGTGAACACTCTGATCAGGCCCGACGGCCAGAAGAAGGCTTACGTGCGTCTGGCGAGGGATTACGATGCCCTCGATGTTGCCAACAAGATTGGCATCATATAAATTATTGACTTTTCAAATTTGCGTTTTGTATGTATTATAAGTATATGAATAAAATTTGAGAAGGGAGAAAAATGTATAAAAAAAAATCCTTTAAAAAAAAACAAACTTTTGTATATTATTTTTTTTATATAATATAATTTGAATTACACCGATGCAAGATGAATTTGAGTAATTTCTGACGATCTCTCAAGTAATTACTACAAAATCAACTAAATTTTTAATGTTCTCTAATATGTGCAAGAAGTCACAACAATTACGTAATTTATCAACATTGCCCAATGCTTTTATATACTTAAATGTGACATGTGTCAAAAAAAAACTGTCAATTTTGACAGATTTGGGTACTTAAGTAAAAACAAACGCCTTAAGTTACATATTTATTATCTAATGCGTACAATGAATAGAATATTGTTTTGCTGTAGAGAATTATGACTAGTTTTTCCAATATACACTTGACAGTTACAATTATGAACTATTTGAATTTAGTTTACACAATTTATAATAGACATTCATTAAACATGATTTAGTTTATTTGATAAATTGTGGAAGTAATTCTCGTTTCAATTAAATATTTAGTTTTAAAGTAACGAAGAGGAGACTTGTTTATATTAATTCTTGTAATTACATCAAAAAATACGATATATATATATTCTTATAGTACAGTAATTGAACTAATTTAATGTTTGTAGGCGCATTCGTCGTAGTGCAAGCAACCGTGCGGATGGTTCCTGAAGAACCAGCAAGGTTTCTCCTTGTACTTCTGCACGTCCTTGTAGAGCATCGGTTCTCTGACCCGAACACCGCCGTGCCGAACGTCGAATATGTACCGGTGATTCTTCATGAGCGTCTGCAATCCACCGCATTCCTTCTTCAGCAGTTTCAAATCGTTCGGATCCAATTTCTCCGCCAAATCCGAGATCGGCATTTGTATGCCAGCGTTCCAAACTTTACCGTCCCTCTTGAACGAATGATTCTTGTACTTCAGCAGTACTCCGGCAACGAGGTTCACCAATCTCGTGACGATCGTTCGATCCACCTGCGTGCAATTCCTCACCCTCTCCACTTTCTCTCGCGCTTGGAAATCCTTCACCCAGCATCCGCCGCCGCCGCTCTGATCTATCAATTTGCTGATATCGGCGTCGATTTCATCGTAATCCTGCTCCTCGTTCCGTTTGAAGCTCACGATGCACGTCCTCTTCGTCGACGGTATCCTCAGCTTATCCACGCCAACGACGAACCCGCACGTCTTCGAAACCTCCTCCACGTACCCCAAATACTCATTGTACTGACTGACGCCCGTGTTCTTTCTTATGTACTTGCGACCGTTGAACTGGTAGCAGCAGCACGGCAGAACGAAGAAATTCGTCGATCTCGAACTACGCGCCGCTATCACCGGTATCCAAGGGGTCAACTCGTCCGAATGATTGCCGATGATCCAATCCGCTTCAGGGAAGAGCGAAGACTCCGAAGGTATTATAGTCTTCACCTCCAGTTGCACCTGCTCCGGGTACTGATCCCAGATTTTCCTCTTCCTCACGTCGATTCCGCTGCCCGGAAAACCCTCCTGATTCAAAATGTACACCAGCAATCCGTTCCCGCATCCCAAATCCACGAAGCTCGGTTTACTCTCCGCATCGATCTTGTGCCACAGGCAAATCAAGTAAGTCGCTATAGCTACGTCTTCGTAGACAAACTTCAGAGGATCCGTGTTCTCTTGCCACATCTAAACATCAAGTAAAAAAAACATCAACATTTCAATTGACCAATCGCTTTGAATACTTACAGCCACCATGCGTTGTCCGTACTTTTCCTTCAACTCCCTGTACTTGCTGCAGTACAATTCGGTGGAGATCAAACAAAGAGACTCTTGCGGATCTTTACTTTCATCATACTCCTCCGCCCATTTCAATATCTTGTTGAACACCTTGTTATCCAACCAACCAGCGCTCGGGGTACTCGCCTCGTCCAAATGTATCACGAGCTTCAAATGACCGCTCCGATCATGCTCGAACGTGTACGGAAACGGCGGCGCAACTAAAGTGAATTTATCTTTCGAAGTCGCGGCCAGAAACGTCGCCGTAGACTTATTCTTATCAAAAAGCGCGATTTCCACGCAATTGTTGCTCTTCGCGTTCGACGGATACAGAATTCTCAACGAGATGAAAACTCCGCTCAAAGATTCCTTCATCTCCTCGAAACTCACCTCCGTCAACTTGCAATCTTTGTCGTAAGGTCTCAGCATGTTATCCACCAGATTCGATAAGTTCTCTTTGGAAAGCGTTTCCACCTTCGACGTCTCGTCCATCAGCGAAGCGTAATTGATCACATCTCTTAAACGATTGCTCGCGCTGTTGTATTCCACTGAATACAAATACACGTGGCTTATGCTGACCAATTTACGATTAACTAGATGCGGCCTATTGAAGTACACGTATATTGCGTTCCAGAAGTTCTTCACCTCGATGGTGCCATAACTCATCACCAGCGGGACCAACATTATCTTTACTTATTTACTTCGACAAATACTGCAACAGATAATTAACAACACATATCAATAAATCAAAATTAATTACTTTTTTCAAAATCCAATCGGCGTCTTCGTAAGCCCTCTTTATAATCTGCCCTATTCTCTCGTCATCAGTCTCCTTGACATGCTGCTTGTAGCTCTGCAACAAACAACCTCAGCAAAACCCTCGGATAAATCACAAATAATCACCTGTCTTATCATGAACTTGTAATGCTCCTTGGGCCCCTTCGGCAGCTTCTCGCACTGCCTCAGAAGATGTTTGTACAGGACAAGAGCCTTATTCGTTGCAGAACTCGTGGAATAGTTGAGGAAGGCAAAATTCATAGTCCTACCCCAAGCACGATGACAACAAAGAAAATCGATAATATTCGCAAATTGAATGTGCAGACAAGGGTTAAGTAACAAATGTGTTATGGTCGTAAAAGCAACCTGTTGTACACGATTTGCATAAGGAATTGCATAAATCTTTGACTCGAATTATTGATTTAACAAAGAATACAATTACAGTTATTCTCGTAATCTGTTTGTATTAATTTTTATTAATCACAGATTAATATGTACTAAAGAAATATAGAAGTAAACATATAATTAATGATGCAACCAAATGTACAGTTTAGATATCTTTATTATTTATTGAATTTGCACAAAACCAAATCGTTAACAATGCTTGAAATATTATAAAGATAAACTTCGTGCTTTTGATTCTAAGTAATTATCAAGTATGCTAAAGTCGAGTTGCTTTCAAGAAGATATTGTTGTTATTTTCGTATCTGTAATCGATTTGCACTAATCAGAAAGATTAAATATCAATTAAGCTGCGTTCAATTAAACGCAGCAGTTTTATGCTTATAATGGTAATAATAAATGCTTATCGATGACGAATTCGTATGCGTATCGAAAATAATGTATGGAAAATAAAAAATTATAAAGTGTAATTTATAATTATAATTGTTGTTTCCGCAGAACTTTTCCAGACGAAAGTGGTTATTATTATTGATATGACATTGACGTCGCGCTGATGTTATTAAACTTAACCTCGCGAGAAGGCTGACAATAATAATAATCGAATTGGTTCTGAAGGAGGTGGCTCATAATGTTCACAAGGCGCCTGATCTCCGGACCCAGTTTCAACTTAATCAGGAACTGCACAAGGGAGTAAGTGGATTATTATTGCCACTAGTTGTTCATCGGTTTCATTATGAGTATGTTTTAGGAGTGCATTCAGTGGAGACGATGGGAAATCGGCAAAGCTTACAGGGGAAATCCTGAACAAGGATGATCGGATATTCTATGCCATCGGAGCCACTGAGGAGCTGCTGAGTTACATTGGGTAAGTTGTGCGTTATTGAAATCAGTAATAGAAATGGATGTGTATGAGAAAGTTGTTTTAATTGTGATAAATGTGTTGCAGTTTAACTAAGGAGTATGCGGTGGAAGCGCAGCACGAGTACATCCACAAATTGACGAGAATCCAGACGGTGCTGATAGATATAAACACAGCGATTTCGAAGTACGACTCGATGTCCAAGCAGAAGATACCGAAGAAACACACGAAAGAGCTGGAGGAGTGGAATAGCAAGTATTCGAAGGAATTGCCGGCGCCAGAGCTCTACATAATTCCAGTAAGTTTCAGCTGATATCTTTCAGACAATATGTTTAACGGTGGACGTGTTTTCAGGGTGGTGGAATATGCAGCGCTTCGTTGCACGTGGCGAGATCGTTGTGCAGACGAACCGAAAGGGTTCTGGTGCCTCTGGTAAGGGAAGGAGGCTTGGATAAGGAGGCTCAAGTGTACATGAACAGGTTGGCAGACTTCCTCTTCACTCTATCGAGGATTGCCAGTAAACTGGACAAGAGGACGGAGAGCATCTATCAGCCGCAGCCAGGGGAAACGTTGCAAGCGCAATGATGTCGCATTTTTTTTTTTATTAATACTATTATTATAGCGTAAATTTGCATACATTCTTCATGTTTTTACTAATTTTTATCTTCGCAAACGCGCGCCCGTCATGTGAAACTGCCAAAATTCGATGTATGTTTATTGTAATCGGCTAAGAACCAAAGTAGAGTACGACGTGTTAAATTTGATACGGTCTTATATTATGTCCTTGCTAATCTAGGGGGTGCTTCAATTCGTTGTGTATTGATGTTGTTTTAAATAAAATATTTATATTTGCTATTGCTTCTTCATATTCCGTTATTGCCTATTCACTTTTTGTTTCCAATTTCTAAAGCTCNTAGATGGCGACTCGGCAGCAGTACGAAGATCCAGTGGGTTCGTTGGAAAGGTGAGACATTCAGCTTTCTTATAAGAGTGGTCGATGATGTAATTATCTTATAGGGGTTGTTGAGAAATTCACGAAAAACTGAAAATTCGATAATCTAATTATCTTATAAAAATGTCGAGAAATTGAAGAAAAACTATCGTCTGATATAATTATCTTAAGGAGTTGTTGAGAAATTCATGAAAAACTGTAGACTCTATTTATTCAAATTCTACAGCTCGTAGCAGGCGGTTTGAAATTCACAAACTGAAAACACTTTTTGACAAATTCTATTCACTTTTTTCCAATTTCTAAAGCTCTAGATGGCGACTCGGTGGCATTACGAAGATGCTTGTAGTTCGTTGGAAAGGTGAGACATTCAGCTTTCATACGAGTGGTCGATGATCTAATTATCTTAGGGGTTGTTCGAGAAATTCACGAAAAACTGAATATACAACCATTTTTTGCAATTTCATCTTATTCACTTTT